TTTAAATACATTCAAAAAACTATCCTTTTTTTGCAGTCTTTCGTATCTTCGTTTTCTAAACCGCATTACTAGAAAAATAATTTTTTTTGATAATCCGTACGTGTAACAAAAACTAACCTCATATAGTTTAAACAAAAACTTTTTACATTAGATTTCAGAGCTATTCCAGAATTACACATTCCGCCAACGACCTATGCATTTTTCGTGAGGGGTTTAGAAGATTAATCGCATATTAAAATTTCTGCATGCTTTTCTCCTAATATTTTTTTAATCTCTTAAGACATTGTACTAAAACTGGGTAATAAAAGTTTTATGTCGAAACAGTAAATTATTCCTGACAAAAATTTCTTAAAAAAGGCTTATTTTCCCGGCTGCCACAGTGGTGTTCCCCCCAAGTGGGGAAAAGCTGCGGTTCAACTTGTGCCAGGCCGTTGTAGATCACGTTAACGTCTGCAGGCTGTAATTCCATGTACCTTCTAGTATATACTAGTTTCAGTACCAAACTTACTAAAAAGCAATTTTCTTGCCCGTCGAGATTCCCGTGTGCTGGACACACAAAGAGGCGTAGGTGGGGCAAGATTTCTGACCAACTGTGCACTCCTCCCCCCCCCCCTCCGGTAACTTATGCAGTGACGAACGAGGCCAAAGGTCCACGAGACCGGGCAGAGTTTCAAATTCTTGACTCCGTTTCCTTGGACGAAATTTAAGTCAAGGAAACGACCCGAGAGTTTGTAACAGATGTGCCGTTTACTTTGGACCCCGACCGGGACCACTGTCCTCCTCTTAAGGTGTGGTTTCCAAGAAGTATTGCGATTCTTCCCGCGGATTCTTTCCCCGGATCGTACGATAGATTCTTGAAAGAGGATGCGAAATAAACGCGGAGAACTTAATGGTGCAGGGAGAAAATACCTGTACACCGAAGTTTCTTTCTTTCCAGGATAAGAACAGAATTTCTCGGAAAATTAAGTATACTGGTGGAGACCAAGTGATTGTTAATACAAAAAAAAAAGTGAATTCAAAGTGTAGAATAGAAAATCCTTGTCTGTAGTTTCGAGTGTCTGAAGAAATCAATTTTCAATGTTTGCAGACACGCATGTTTTAGTGAGTGAGTCTTGGGTGGCATGTCTGATCATCAATTGCTGTTTCTACTTGGAATAGACTGACGAGTACACTGCGGAAGTTCAAGCAGTTACGATATGCAGTGAATATGCAGAACAGTAAGGACGAAGGATTTGACGTAGAGATTTCTACGAGCAGTTATCGAAACTTTACTGTATTTAATGTCCTAGGGACCCGTCCGGTATTCTTGTTACCAGTAACTTTTCTACTTCCACTATTCACAAACACGTCTATTTGCAAAGTTTATCCGTCAAAGTTTCGTGCGGTGTCTCTGGTCAACGGTTTTCCTCTGTAATTGAGAATACCCGTTGTTATTGAACCGTCTCGAACGCGGAAAGAGAGCATCTCCCGCGGTCCTATTTCACCAGACAGAGAGGGAGAATGGGGAGGGGGGTTGGTAGCTCGCGACTGATTGTCCTCTTACACGACAGATAAACGTGTAATTTATCGTGCCGGTCCTCGGCCCGGGAGTTGGATTTGCGGTCCTTCGCACCTATATTATCAGGGCAGCCGGTCGATCTTTAGCCCTGCGCGCCGCCCCTCACGGAAATTTATCGTGTCGCCCCGCGCACGACAGTTGGATTTGTGGGTTTCAGCGGGACGGTTAGCCTCTCGCCTCGTTTTCTCGTCCCGGTTGCAGGGGGGCGTGTCGCCTGAATCCTGGGTACACGAGACGGTAATTCCGTTTCGGGGATTGATACGTGATCGGAGGAAGACCACGTCACGTTCTATACACCCCAGCTCATAAGTATCAGGACATTTATCATGTGAATGTTACGCACGACATCACGAAAAACCATTGTTCTGGAGTAACATTTCGAATTTTGTTGATACTTGGATATGTGTCTTTAGTGATATATAGACTGCGGATTTTATGCATTTAGAGCCTACAGGGCTCAGTGAAATACAATAAAAAATCAAACATTGATGAGTGCAAATGGTTTTCTATTTTATTCTGAACAGAATAAAGTACTTAAAAGAAGAAAGAATTCCTATAGTTGATTTTGTCTTTGTGGGTTACTTTAGAAAATGTCATTTTGCATAAAAATTCGCAGTCTTGTGATGTATAGAGGGTGTCCCATTTAAATCGATGTTCTCGAATATCTCTGAAATTATTTGTGATATTGGAAAGTGTTTCGAACAAAAGTTAAATGGTATCGAGTGGGACATAATTTGATGTCAATAGTTTTTTCTGGATATTTTTCTGTGTATTTTTGAATGCATTGATCGATGCAGCTCGTTATTCCCGATAAAACATTATTAACCTATTCATACCGAGAAACCATTAGTTTAAGAGATATTTCCATTAAAATATTGGCGCAGTGGTGCTAGTGATACGATGTTACCGTCATAAAGTTGATGTTCACAAGTATGTCCATATACGTCGCACATAATTTTGAAATTTAAATATCTCCTAAACTAATGATTTCTCGATGTAAATAGGTCAATAATTTTTTTTAAGGGGAATAAAGAGCTGCCTCGATCAATGCATTAAAGAAATGTACGGTTCCATTTAAGTTAACTTCCGTAACTGGTTCACTCCGAATACCCTGTCAGTAGCCAGACCAGCCTTGTTCAGAAATCGACAGGGACAGTCTCCGTAACGTTCCAAAGATTTCCAACGACAATACCCTTAGGATTCCCAGAACCAATGGACGACGTCGAGAGTCCCTTCGACCGATGGTACTGCGGTTCTAATCGCGAATCGAATCGGAAAATGAATAGCCGAACCAAGTCACGTGCAGTCGTGCACGGTGTGTGGTGCACGTGGAAATCGTGAAACCCACCCTCTGAATCATTGTAATCGTTACGATATCTAGTGATGTCACTGATACCGTATCGATATTATCGGTACCCTTTCTCTGAGTTTCAATACAGTATTGATATATATCAAAGACGTATTTTGATACCTACCCGAAAGTATCGATACATGTTTATTATCTACACGGAAGTATCGATACCTATTTGATACCTACTCGAAACATCAATATTTACTGTGTAGCCTGTTTATTCGAACTGCTGAATGTCGAGCGCAAAGAGTTGAGCACCGAACGTTGAAAGACATGGGGGCGACAAGAATGTATGCTACCGCCGTTCGACCCTCGCTGTTTCGAATAAACAAGCTACCGAAAATATCGATATTTCCTGTATCAAATAGGTATCGATACATTCTTGAGGTATCGACTCTTTCATGAGGTATCGATACTTCCGTGAGGTATCTATACTTTCGTGAGGTATCGATACTTTCGCGATGTATCAAACTGGTTTCGATTCGATACCGTATCGGATTGGTATCGATTCGAGAAGAGTCGGTTCTGATACTTGATACCAAGTACCCAATGTTTTGATACATATCGACACCTCCCACTGAGCACTTTGGGTATTGAATCGATTGAATATCATCAATAGCATTGGTATCGATCCCATCACTAATCATATCCTCTGTGGTGGTAGCAACCGAGAGAGCGTTGAACGGGGCTCGAGATACGAAACATTGTTGTGTGTTGTTCGCGTATGTCGTGGTCTTTATTCCGGCCGACACGGTCGGTCGAGACGACGATGGGCCTGTGTTGTATCTCAGTCTCCGTATCTAATAATAAACGGGTCGAGAGCATTGTTGGAAAATGGGTCGGACGCTACGGCATCTAACCGATGTATCGAGCTTTCTTGTGTATACGGTGTGCATGTGACACGGTGCAACCGCTTGCATGTCTCTCTCTCTCTCTCTCTCTCTCTCTCTCTCTCTCGCTCTCGCTCTCTCTTCCCCTTCACATCCTCACTGTTTCAAGCTGTACGAAGCATGTGACACGTGGCAGACCGAATGAATGCACAATGCAGGAATCGGCACAGTTTCGAACTTGCGCGCCAGCTCCATCGCCCGAAGACGACTGTCTGTTGTTCCTTTCACGGATGGTCGTACGTGGCGATGGGGACTTGGAAGGTCGGGAGGGGGGATACCATCGATACGTTTCGGGGTTGGTGGTATCTCAATACATTTTGAAATGAAAATTTCGAATCACGAATCAAAGATAAAAATATTTTAATCGTTATTCGAAGTTCGAATAGAAAAAGGATCTTTAAAAAAAAATCAATTTATTCAATGAGAATTATTCAACGAATATTCTCTCTATATTATATACAAACGATCCCGATAGAATCGTATTCCGATGAAATTCTACTAAATTACGAGTGAAAATTTTAACTAACCACTGGTGGAATTCGAACGCAATAAACTACACGATTCGAGCAGAATTTTCCCAGAATTCCAACGAAATACACGGAATTCCAGTAGAAGAAAACTACCCATTCCTCGAATCTTCAAACGCATCGTGGATACGTGAAACTAAAATTCAAATAAATTACCAATGGAATTCCAACATAATAAATTACAAAATTCCAACCAAATACACGGAATCTCAGTAGAATAAACTACCTATTCTCGAACCTTCGAACATATCCGTGAATTCTCCAAAGAAAAATTCCGATGGGATCTAACCGCAGAACGGGTTGCAAATTCGTCGATAAAATCGGGTAAGCACATTTGCGTGCATTATGCATCCGGTAGAGGGTGGTGACGGAGCACGACGTTGCAGCTTGCGCGTAGATGGATTCCACGAGGGACGTGTTTACCTCGAAGACGGATGGGGGCGACGGGGTGGAGGAGATTGGGAGGAGGCAGAGGAGGCTAAGCCGTCGGCAAACACGTTCGTTCGACGGAAAAGTATGTCATAAGCGAAATTCCGTTTGAGTTTGTTAGGCATCCTTTTCCGGCAGATACGTTCTTCCGGTCGGAAATTCTTAAGATCCAAAAGCTACGTTGCGCACTCACCCTCGACACCCGTGTGTGCTTCCCACCGGCTTCACGTCGTTCGAGTTTCGCGTCCCGCTGTGATTCGCCCGTTCGCTGTGCCTCCTAAAACAAAACGGGGAACGCGGTTAACCACACACTGGTTGAAAAATATTACCTTCCTTTCAATCCTTTGGCTGCAAGGAAGATTTTCAATATTCGTATACAACATATACATATATGTATATCTAGACCCCAGAGCAAGAGTGTATTACTTCCACTTATAAAAAAAATTACATTTTACAAATTTCCTGTATCAAATATTTCCCTCTTTCCGATGGTAAAAATTATTTCGTTCTAAGTTGTATAGTTTTTAATATAGGCACGTAATAATTTAAAAATGATATTAAGTTCATATTTTTAAAACAGTGTAAAGTTCATCACATACATGAATTAATGCAAAATTCACCATTTGTACATATAGAGTTTCGTCTGAAATTCATTCAATAATTCGAAGGTAAGTGATTGTTTCTCGTTGAATTCTTACTGAATGCTTCCAGAATTCCATGGTTTTTGCATCTTTGATTTGCTCTCCTCTAAAGTTTGAAAACTATGACTTAATTCACTCTGGTTCTGGGGTCCAGACATACCAGTCTCATAATTTTCAAATAACGATTTAAGAGTGCGGGCGTTAAAGATTTAATAACAAAACAAAAAAATTGGTACCTTAAACGGCACCAACATTCGGACGACCAAATATTACATCCATAAAGCAACTGTCCTTTTCAATTATTTTCACCCAATGGATCTCCAGTGAGTGCAATAAAGACACATTATTATCATCATCATCATTTCAATTCTGAAGAGCAGTACGAAGTACCTTCCGAAACCGTGAGAGGTTCAATAGCTACTGGCCTCCACCTTCACGAACGCAAACAGCAGTTGACTGAAGACCGGACAGGGTGGGATGGGAACTAGAAACCGACCACGATCGTGGCCAGAAGTGAAGAAGATCCCCCCCTAGACGGAAGGGCGATATCCCCCGTCGTCGTTCGAAGAATCCACCAACGAACATCCCCCTTCCCCCCAGCGCAGGTCCACTCGACGAAACAATTGCCTCCAATTTCACCATCGAGCGAGTTCACCGTCGTCATAGATCACGGCCAGACAAATGCAATATAGAGTGTCGGCCGGGTGGACGGCCCGGTTAGGGTCAGACAGAAGCTGGAGGGAAAGGAAGGATCTATCCTCCTCCTCCTCGTCCTCCTTCACCACGGGTTGAGGGATCCTCGCGGGGCCTCTTGCACGACGCCCCACGATCGGGCGTCGCTGCTCGTCGAGCCACGGGTTCAACGAGCTGGCTAATCGAAACCGCTTCCTCGAGCTAACCACTTAACTCGAGATAGAGACCCCTAGTGATAGAGTGAGAGACAGATAGATAGACAGAGAAAAAAAGCAGAGAAAAAAGGAGTAGGCCCGTCATCTGTCCTTGTTTTCTCGATGTACGCGGATCCTCTCACGCCTAACCCTTCGACTGTTAGGGCCAAGTTATGCAAAAAAAGCTACTAACCCGCAATAATCTGAAATTAAGTAAATTTAATTTAAAGGTTTTATTTATTTATGGAGTTGGCTGTAGTACGGTATGACCCAAACATCATAATGAAACGAAATTTTTAGGGGTAAGGAGGGGGAGAGAATCCTAAATATACAATTTTAGCTGTGGGTCTTGATTAATTTCTGAGGTATTAATAAAAAAAGTTGTGTACAATATATTGAATGTTGTCTATATGTATGTACAGACGTGACTAATATATTATTTGCACTATGTCTTTCCTTATTTCTGATTTATCTATTGACAAATATCGAAGAAATTCTGAGAAATAGTCTCAAATAGCAAACAACATACCGTTATAAACGCTTCTATAGGTTCAGAATGAAATAGAGTATATTTTTTTATCTCTCGTAGGATTTAACAAATTCATAGGGGCTAATGGTCCGCTGTCCAGTCTGTGATTATTGCACCTCTAGGCGATTCTATACCCATCCTTAGTAACGAAAAGGTTAAAACGAAACAGTAGTATAAGTCGATCACTTATTGGGTAGGGTTGACGTAAAAAAAAAAGATCAATATCTCGCTTCCAATCGTTTATCCTACCAAAACAATTTTCTTTTCTTGGACGCATGTTATCGAGCGCTCCAGCGATATTTCGCGCAGAGTTTATTAATTGTAGATTCCCGGGGGAAGTCCCAATTCGACAGAAAAAAAAATAAAACGGGTCACCTCTCTCCCCTCCACTCCCTTTGAAACAGCTGGAAACTTGATAATTCAACGGGCCGTGACTGCGAACGGTCGCACGCTTCGACGATAATCGTATCGAGGGAGACAAGACCTTTTTTTTTTCACGGGGACGAAGATGAATTTAATGGAGCCGTCTCGACTTCCACCCCACTTTCCACCTACTCTTCCTTCAATTTCCTACATTTTCAAGAACACAAGAGGGCCTCCGACATAATTGCACGAGCGTAACGAGGTCGAGCAACACTTGCGCCTGTTTTTTTTCCTTCTGTTTAATGAATACGTTCTCTCTCTTGTCGATAAATCCCGCGATTCCACGACGCCGCTGTTCATCACGCACCCAATACCTCCTACACGTCATTATGCGCCGGTAACGATCGATCGTCGCTGAGCTTTCAATAAAGATTATTTCTGTAGAAATCGTCTTGTTCTTATTTTTGTGCTGTTCAACCGTTGCACGACGGTGCCTGGATCCATATGAACCCCAGGTTTTAAAAGGTCTATCTAACTCATCGACCTATTAAATTGTATTTAAGCTAGGAATTGTTCATATTAATACTTTGATGAAGCTAGCTGCAGTTAGTCTGCTTAAAACAGACCATCTAAATACCTTCTTTATCTGTAATCATACGAGAAATATTTTTTACGTAATTTAAATCGTTTCAAGAGACGAATCGGATGGCGGTAAAATGTTTTTATGAGTGTCATTTCTTAATGGTTATTTTTCAGAGTCAGTCATTTTTTTTTACGGATATGCACATAATTTTTCCTGTTGTATGTTATAGCTAACACTATTATGCATTTATTAATGTATATAATAGAATGACCTTGAAACGACCTTGAAATCTGACAATTAAAAATTTACTTACAAAAAATTTATCCTAAAAATTTTTAATTCATTTATATAATTTTTTCCACCATCTGATTCGTTTCTTGAATCCATTTAAATTACGGAAAAAATTTGGATCTCATTGATGAACTTTTAAATTCTACATTCTTTTCGGTGTACGATATTTTTTGTGTACTTTGTGCCACTCTATTGTTATTTTCTATTGTTATTATCAATTATTTAAAAATAACATTGCTCACGGTAAAAGAAAACGCGTATCATTTCGAAATACGAAATCACATTTCAAGGGAGGAAACACGTACACGTCCCATTCGGAAGAGTGGTCGCGAAGAGGGTCGAACACGAACACCGACTGAAAGTCGCTGAAATAAAAGCTGTCGCGCGCGGTCTGAAAGTCGCGTGACAGTGAAACCATCTCGCGCTTTTTCTCTTTTTTTTCCACGGCTTGATGGATTATAAGGTGAAGTGATGTATTAGTCGCTACAACCCTGCACCAGCATTTATTCATCGCTCTCTGATAAATTAATGGAAAAACGTTGGAAAACTTCGTCCCAACATGAAACAAAAACCGTGTAACGCGTTGATACACTGAAAAATATTTTGTCTTTATTATCATGATATCGAAACTGTTACCTGTAATTGATCGTTAAATTATGTAGACGCTAAACAGGTAGACGATCATCCTACCACAAACATTCCAAACAGGGATGACAGAATATCAGAGACCCAATCGTGAAAATATGTAAGAATGTTAAAGTCGACGGGTCGTCGATGACCCAGCCGTAGGAATTCGAGATATAAAAATCGACAGGTTGCAGGTGACTGAACCCTAAATACGAGATGGTTAAAATCAACGGGTCGTCAGTAACCCAGTCGCCGGAAATCCAGAGACAAAGTCGATGATACGTCGTTGACTCAACTATAAAAACAAGAAGGTAGTTAAAGTCTACGGCTCTTCGATGATCCCCCAATAAATGCGCGGGGATTAAAATCGACAGTTTGCTACAGGAATGTAAGGATCGAAATGGTCGAGTCAACCAGTGACCCAGCTTCTGAAACGTAAAAAATAACCTAGACGGTTCAACACAGGTCCAGCCATCGGAAAGCAAGTGATGAATGAATCCGAATTGTCAGTAACTGAGCCATAGAATAGGTATCAAGGAATTAATTGTGTACATCGTCAAAAGTATCATCCCGAAAAATCTAAAAGCATCCCTCCCAACCCGGGCAAGGGGCCAAAGAACAAGCTTGTACCGGTTTGCAATGTAAAGTAGTCCCGTGTAATCTTGCTTGCATAATACGAGGCGAATTAAGTAACGGGAATTCAGATGTTCAGCTCTTAGCTTAGATTCACGCGGGCATTCGCCAAGCGCAAGCGTCTCAACGTCCGGTACCCCTACTGGGGCTAGCGGTGTTATCGTTCCGATCCAAGTTTTCGATCAATGCCACTCAACCGGACTCCTGGTTCACCTGGGCCCCGTGTGTAACGTGTTAATTCAAATACATGTTCGCGTGTCACGCTCTCGTGACACACAATCTGATAGGGCATCTATTTACCTGGCCGCTTATCCGGCTGGTTAAACGGCCCCCGCTCCCGCGAGTGGTGAAAGCCAAAGAGCGTTAATTTTTCCCGGCAATCGTGCCGCGGATCACCACCGTGTGTCTCGCACACGTCCTTCGTACTTATACCGAATCGCTCGTAAGTCATTCCCTTGTTAACTGTACGATTGTCGACGCGAACATTTTCGGTGCATGTTTCCCTCTGGTCTATTGCATTCGTCTCTCGGCGTTGTAACAGATTTTTCGCGGAGGAAAAAATCTAGGTTACCGATAGAACTGTAAAACTGGTTTACAGTGAAATTTCGACGGAACGAATCGCTGACAGAATTTCGATAACATGATGATCGATGACTTCGAAAATCGGTGTTAATAGAGCTGTAACAGATTTTTATAGAAGTCTGTGTGGAATTCCGACGAAGC